ATGCTGGAAAGCGGAAATCTCTTAGACATGTATCCTAAAATTAGGTTCTCATAGGCCTAGACGTCTAGCAAAAACTACATTCCAAATGCAATGGCAAATTTATCTACGATAATTAATCTCAGAAAGACTGAGCATAAACTATAATTAAGAAACCATAGATATACATAAATCATAGTACCGCAGTACTTAATCTAGTGAAACGCAGTAATTTAACCTAGATTAATTGAAAATCATTCTATAATGTATTATATTGCGTGCTTACGGGTTCGTAATAGATTGAATGCACACTGAACCAATGATAGCGATAAACGATTAAAATTTATTTGCTAAAAGAACAGTTCACAGTTCTATGAACGATTAAAATTTATTTATCAGAAGAACATTTCCCAGTTCTGGAACTGTACGCAAAAATTCTCGTACAGCTATCCGACGTATAACAGAGTACAATCAGTAGTTACACGTTAAACTACTAAGAATATTAAACACAGTTTCAGTGCAAAGCACATCTAAAAGCCAAAGCTCTTACGGATATCTCAATGCTCCGAAAACGCTCTGAACTAATAACTACTACTCCGAACAGATGCTCTCTCCGGTCTTATATAGTTTCCACATTTCCACCGAGATATTTCTACTTAAACTGAAAATGACTGGAAGGCATCTGAGGGCCAAGTACGGATACACTTACACAATGGAATTAATTAGATTCGATCAATTACAATACCAGTTATACAGGAAACAGACCAAAATGCCGTGAAATGGTGGCCAAGTTTGGCGGTTTTTCTCTAAATTTGGTAACAAAAACTACTTGCCAAACCCATCGTCAGCTCTGCGATATTTCTCCAATGTAGCGAGATAGGAAATATACGTACTCAATGTTAATTAGACTTAGAACCTATATTCTTAACATTTTCGGCAAATATTCACTTCTTCAGACTTCATGTTACATTATACAGCAAAATACTACGAGTTCACATATAATTTCACTAAAATTATTTATATATGTACAAAATTCTTAGCAGCATTTATATCTATAAATAATTCTATAACCTATTTTCTCGTATAATTCGACAACCTAGGTTAACTGAGTGTAACTCAATAATTGCTGAATTGGAACGTAATAGTGTAACTAAGGAAGTAATTGAGTAATATAAAAATTTATCTGTTAGTAAAAATTTACCTGTTAATTTTAAAATTGTAAAATTGTAACATAATTGTCATAATATATATATGCCAAAGTTCTGACTGATTGATAAATTCTGCATAAAGTATTGCAAAATTTGTCGAAAACTATTAACACTCTAATTAAAAGTCTTTTGCAACAGTTACTTTAGACAAAACGTACGTGGGCCACCGTTGCCTCCTATGAAAGGACAGAAAATTTACATTCATGCCTCCTCAGGGATTCAAACCCGGATAAGGCAGTCAGAGTTATTAAGCACTTTTTGTCTGGGTGGCCGACACTTTAATATTAATTAGTAAACAAAGCAGCATGCTTCTTAATGCAATATTAATTAGTAATATTAATTAGTAAACAAAGCAGCATGCTTCTTAATGCAATATTAATTAGTAATATTAATTAGTAAACAAAGCAGCATGCTTCTTAATGCAATTTCGATACACATTAAGAATCACAGGAGCGTTAACAAATTATTTTACGTGCAAACAACCACTTCTATCTACTGAAGGTGTTGTTTATAAGACGATGAAATCTGTTATCATTAATTAAATATTTTCATATAAAAATGGCATAAATGAAATCTCAGTTTAAATAATAAAAAGACTTTGTAGACAGCTAAGGTAAATATCTTCCTAGTTTACATAGTGCAAGTTCCAGTGTGCAAGAAACAGACAACACATTTAACACCTCTCATCTATAAAGGAAGCATAAATTTCGTTACTCGCAAGAAGTAAATAAATTTCCTTATTGACAACAACACATTTCCTTACAGCAGTAATTGCATTTTTATCACCTCTTTGCCTAAAAACAAATAAATAGGATGGTGTTTCTAGTCTTGAAAAGAAACTAAAGGCAACTCCTCTAGTAAAATTAATGAAGAAAGTTTCTGACGTTTTATCGCCTTTCTCTTGATTAAAAATAAATTCAGTCGACCTTTATTGCTCATGAATCGAGTTTTCTATAAAAAGTAAAGTCACTGAGATAAATTTAACAACACCTTAACAGTCATGATTTCAACGACTGAAAGTTTAATACAGATTTAGAAGAAAAAGTTTATAATATTCTTTACCTCTAATATTTATATGATGGTCCTTTATTCGCTGAATAAGCTTGATTATTGCTTAATAACAGGGCATACACGGTTAATAGTAACTGTATGTGTTTATAATTAATACTAAGTTTATATTATTTGCGGTAATTAGTGAAATAAAATTAGTTGTTTGGTAGAAATCAAAGGTGACGTTTGATTAAATTTTCCCATGAAATGCTTGTTTATTTTCGTATGCATTTAATATTAATTTACTTTTTAAAAATGTTTTTTAGTTCTTGTTCTCTCTCCACTGGAAAGATTAATAATTTAATATTGTTTTTATTCAACTACTGCATATGTCTTCTCATGTATTATTAATTGAAGCAGCTTTATACTTGCTTTTGTTATTATTTTGATGGTTATTTTCTGTCTCGTTTTTTACTTTGGTCTTATACGTACAAGACGTTTAAGATGAAAATCTGGGGTGCAGATTAAATTCAAAGCGCATATTTTAGATGGCTCGAAGTTTCAAAAATGCATTTTCCGAGGGAAAATATTTGTACTGATGAATTGTAAAGAAATGCCAAAACCGAAGTAATACGAAGTAATACCATATATTATTCTGGTATTAGTCGTTTCATTACCCGACGTTAGAAACGTACCGTTAATGTCTGAGTCAGCTTGAGTAGATCATTTTGTGTAGTATCCAAGTACGTTACTCACATTTAAATTTCAGATTATATAATTTTAAATATCTGCAAGGGGCGGAGGATATATTATACTCATAAATGGTGCCTTCTGTTTACTTTAAAATTTAATTAAAAAATCTGATGTGGACACCACATGACTTCCTGTACTGCCTATAAAATTATAACCATTTCTTGCTGCACGTCATTTAAATTTATTTCCTCAAATTATTCTAACTTATTTAACCGATCTCTCAAGGCAAGTTGAAAGTGACATAAAAAATTGCAAATTTTGAAATTAAATATTCCAGTCAATTTTGGTCATACCTGAATCAAACACCTGATAATTCTGTTTCATAACAATTATAAATCTTTCCTAACTAAAGGCATAAAAAATGGGAGATCGCATTAAATTTAGATTTCATTATTTGCCCATTTTCTCTCTTATTTTGATTATTGTTCAAATATGAAGATTTTATCATATAAAATACTTCTGTAACTGGATGTACATGATTAGAACGAATGATTGCGAAAATAAATGCCACATGAAGTTATTTGAGAGTTATGCAAGATACGTACGTAAGTACAGAAGTCACGAAAAAATTCATTTTGGAAAAAGGAATCCTTTATTTTGTCCGTACGTACAGACGTCTTGCAAAGAAATAATCAAAATGGATTCAGAAACTGTCAAAATGTATATTTCGGTTGAAATATGATACCCGTATTTTTTCGCAATTTTAGTGCATGCTTTACTTCGTGCAAGGTAATAGAAAGATTATTTTAGTCTTGGCAGGACTTTGTCATTTTGATTCACACCGGAGTGTCAGTCTAATAGTGTCTGAATTGCAGTGATTTAATCTTCTACACGAGTAAAACCATACAAATGGACCAGAGGCTTTAGGCTAGTTCTCTTAATTTTAGGTAAGAATACTTTCAAATAATACTTTACCTAGGGTTCAACAGCATTAAAATGAACAACCATTGAAATTAAATATATTGTACCAGGATTTAAAATACGGAGCCGAAGCAGTTGGGAATAATGCGTCCTTAGATAAGGCATCATTTTGGAGACGCGCAAGGAAATTAGGAAGCCGTTTTAAAACAACACACTCTTCAGCTGATGGTATCATACTTATAGAATTAGTCGCATATCTCTCATACCTTTTGGGGTATTATTATGTTTAAAAATAGTTAAAATAAATTAAATCTACACCACATATTGTCATTTGTCCAAACCTGAACAACTGTACTTGCCATTAAAAAAAAGTCAAAATTCGTAATGAAAAAACTTCAAAATGACTAACGGTATATTAACTGACTAATACTTTTCAGTTTTCTGGCTTTGTCTGGTTCTTTCATTTTTTTTAATAAATTGTGTCACAATCACTTTGACGTCCTTATCAAATTTTATCTAATAAATGAATGTATGATTTTGGTTGCTACATACAGCAATCTTCAATTCCAAATAAACTCTGTTGTATCAATTACCTCATTAAGGCGATTGCTTCTGAATGTGACCAGTGTTTCTGAGATGGTAAATAGGCACTGGTAACTGGTAACTGAAGCCTATCTCTCTTCAGCTACCATTTCTGTTGATGATCAAAATCTTCTGGACCAAAATCTTAAACATCTTAGGAATGATTATAATTTGTTTCATTTAGTTCCTTTTATTGAAAGCCACAGCATTCTGTTGGTTAGAATATACTGTGTTGAAATATAATTGAAATTGAACTGCTACAAATAAAATTTTCGTTGATTTAGCTTAGGAGACGTAAAATTCTTTTGCTAACACTTTCTTAAGCATTTTCTCTTGAGCGTTTTTCAATTAAAAGATGGCTTACATGCATTCAATAGAGTTTACAAAAAATTAGAAGCTTTGATTAAAACGTCTGTGTGTATTCATATAAGTAATGCTCAATAAATTCTACAACCACATATTCGAATAAACTGTTATATATTACGTTTCTGGACATAAAGGGTTTTTAAATATTCTGATAAAAATGAATATAATGCTGTAAGGGGAAATAAATATTATTAAGATTTATTTAATAAAACATGTCTGTACATACTTAATTTTTTTAAGTATGTATAATATCATCACATTTAAATTTTCCTAATAATGATTCTGATAATGAATTGTTTTTTTTTCCCAGGATCACTCCAAGGCCCACACGAGAAGCGTCTCTTGAACGACCTCCTCTCCTCGTACAACGTCCTGGAAAGACCAGTTGCCAATGAGTCTGAGCCCTTGCTTATCAGTTTCGGCCTCACGTTGCAACAAATCATCGACGTAGTGAGTATTCATTAGCGATTCTCCATCCGCAAATGCATATTAATAGGGAGAGATTTTGTACCAATTCATCACTTTCTGTAAGATAAGTCTTCTCCCTGAATTTAGAACACAGTGTGAAATAGCATGTACAAACCATTCGTCATGTACTTATCGCAGCGATTATGAAATTTTAGGTACTGCCACTGTTTGTTAATAGGGCTTACGGATATTTCGATAAAGTTTCCATTTATTTTACGATTTAATATTTGAACGTCTGAATAAGATATCATTGCTTCTCATCAAGAACTAACAATTTCTAAATATAGTAATCGATTAGATATATGCATGATTAATATATGACGTAAACCAATTTATTACATAATCGTTTTTGATCATAATCAAAATAACAAGATTTTCTGCATTTAAAATACATATAATCTTTCTACTCATAACCGTAGGAAAGAAAAATGTTCTATGCAATATATTTGAATTTAAAAGTTTTCTTCAGTATGCAGGGTGTAACAAGATATCTTTTTAAAACATTAAAACAGGGTTAAATTATGTCAAAGGTAACAATATTCGTACTACAGTACACGTTGGAATATAGAATGTGAACACTAAAAACAAATTAAATGCGAGAAATATGGAAGACGAGAAGATATTTTAATTACGGATATTTAACAGAAATAATACAAGTGTCCATAAAGCACCTGAACAAATTTAATAGCTTGTTTTTTTTGGGGGGGAATGGAACTTATATCTTTAAAACCGTTCACACTTTCACAAACAAGATTCGAAAATTTTGTGACAAGTGATTCATTCAAGTTACACAGACTCGGCATGATGACCATTGATTGCTCTGGTTGACTGACCTCTCTGAGGGCCAACGTAATTAATAAATTTATCGAGGTAAATTTCGGATTTTATTGTTTTGTTCCTGGGACTAAGATCTTATCACGTAGCATCTCGCGCAAAACATCCTTTTTCAGGCCGTTCCACTTCAGTTTCCTAGTGACATGAAAATTATTGTACCTCTCAGTCCTAGCATTATGTGCTTATTAAACCAAAATAAATTATTTAGGAAAATTTACAGCACTACCTCTTACAAAGGTCTACAAAAGTAGGATAAATTTGTCCAGAGAATTTGTGGACACCCTGTATTTTTGGAACATGAAGGTGCAATTAAAATCATTAACTAAGTCTTACAAGTTCCCGTGTTTGTAGAAGGATTCAAAGAAATTGAATTAACCATTTTCAGAAGTCTATCTGAGAGTTATGAAGTCTGGTTTTCTATGGTAGCATCAATTTTACGAAGCTTCTAAGACCTTAAGTGAATTATCACTGTGTCTTGTAAAGTACCACAGAGACTTAGAAAGGGTATAAAGGACGCTTTTATTTAATTCAAATAAAAGTTAACAGAAGGCACCACTCGTACTTACAAAATAGCAGCATTCACGGCTTAAAGAAAAGTAATGAATTTGACTAAGTAAATATGAGTTAGGTCAACGGCTACACAGGTAAAGAAGCGCCCAAGCTGGCTGGAACCTAAAGCCGGCGGGCAGAAAATAACGCAACGCCGCAGACTGCTGTTATCAAGCTAATCAATTTAGCAACGCGGCCACCAGCAGACAGAATGCGCATTGATTCTACTCTCTAAAACTTTTCTTTTAAGTACTATTTGCTCTTTATCTCATTTTTGTACAAGCGAGCTAGAAATTTATATTCTGGAAGGAAAATGGGAAAGGAGAACAGAAAAGCTGATTAACATAAAATAACTGGTTAATGAAACTAAATGAAACCTTATAAGGTTTTAAAAGAGGGCTTGCACTGACCATTATCTGACAAGTGAGAGTGACAACAACAACAAGAAATGCATTGAAGCTATGATAGTCAAATACATGCCTCTATTAGGTTGTTAAGTATTCATTTAAATTAAAATATATAAACCGTTTAATAAAGCAATTTTCGAAATCTTCAAATTTTCTCAAGCAGCAGATAGTGTCTTTCAAATCAAGAAATCAATTTCTCAATCTTAGTTTTAAATTTCTTCTCACAAATCATTCTGATCACGGTTTACTAATATTAATCGTTAGCAGTCAGTTTTATGCATCGTCAATAAAATCTAATCTAAAGAACAAAAGAAAGGGATATCAAAATATCATTCTATTTTGAAAAGTGTAGTTAAATGAATCTAATATCTCTCGATAATTTATTTCATTAGTGAAAAAACAAATATTAAATAGTATTCGGCTATATCGATGCAGAAACATAATAAATATAAAGAGACCTTGCCGGAATTCGAACACCAGACCTCCCGATTTCTAACCCGGTATGCTATCTATTTACAACAGGAAGGCAGGTGGTTAGAAGGAAGGAAACAAGTTATAAATAAATGAAGTTTTGTTGGCTGTTCGTTGAACTTACTATATTTGAAATGTTATTTATAGGAAATCATAGGCATAGGAAATCTTTTTACTTGATGTATTTAATTTTACGATATCACAAAAATATGATGTTATTACTTCGTATACTTTCTGCTATATATTTATGACAAAACTTTTAGATTTATTGTGAATCAAATTCCTGCGGTATGTGATTCAGATGATTTTCCTGTTCCTATGTAAAAGGTATAAAATTGTAGAATTGTATCATTACGCAAACGGTGCAAAGCTGCTCTTAATGGTTCTATCACTTTTGTGAAGCTATTGATTTTTATGTTGATAGATGAGGGTAGTTACACCATAATGCTCGTCTTCCTGCAGCACGATAGACAGGTTTCGAGCATTCTGAAAATTTCTGCAAAGGTTATGTCTATGTGTTGGTGAATATGGAATAAATTTAGTTTCCTTTCCTTTTTAAACTACATATTCGAATTCATTAAAATAAATATATATATAATCTTCTAAGAAAGTGCATAAAATGTGAAAATATAAGCTTCCTGTTTTAGAATAGGATGCTAGAAGTAAAAGTATAAAAATGCTTTCATTAGCTAACATTTAAAAGTTAAATAAATAAGATTACATTCTGCAGTGAAATGATGAGTCATTAGGCTCATCGATGCAGAAGGCATGAAAAATCTGCAAAGTTCTCGCCAGGATTCGAATTCTTGACCTCCTATTCACGCGTGGGACGTGCTTCCAGTTACACCACGAAGGCAAGCGGAAAGGAGGAAGAAATAAGTTATAAGGGCATTAAAAAGTTTCTTTGCTGCCTAGATGTACTATTAAATTTTGTTTATGAACATCAAGCGTAATGGTCTGCTGTTATTAAATCACCTGTTCTTTTAGAAACGATCACAATTTAAAACATTGTGTTAATGTACAAGGAACACTCTTTAAATGTTACGTTTTACCTATACTGTTACAATTACTGTCATTTTACCTATACTATAGAATTAAAAACAGGTTTTGCCATTTTCTGGCAAGGTTTCCACATCACGAATCAATGCTTCAGAAACGCGTGAAAAGCCAAAAACCATTCTCCTGTGATAGACTCTCATACCCATATTTATGTGGTCTCGTTATTCTTATTATGTTTGCTGAGCTTCTGAATACAGAAAGCCTTCTAAACACAGAAATACGCAATGTGGTTTTGAGAAGCTCATTCGTAATCTACAAAAGCAATACGAATGCATTCCTAAAACTGGCAGTTCATCCTTTAACGGATGTGTAATTACTTCTCTTCTTCAGTATAGAAAACATATATAAAAACACTGCTCTGTTTGAGAAATTTCTTCATATTAACGAATTTCCATTTTTACGAATGGTATTGTACTTACATTGTTTATGAATACCATAGCACTTCGGTGCCGCCTAGACCGAATAGAGGTTACTGGCTCTGACTACCGTACCGAAGGGCTCGGGTTCGAATCTTGGAGAAGGCATGGATGTTTCTAAATGTATAGTGTCTTTGTGGCATGGGGACACTCTAAATATATGGCGAACCCAAAGGTTAGCGGTAGGGAAAGAGAAGTGAGAGACCTTGGGACCCATTCCCCCGGGCGCTTTCGATCGAAATTGGGATTGAACTGAGCAAAGTCGTATTTTCACCTATATGATGCTCAAGGATCTTTCCAATGACAGGCGTCATCTTGTATTCCTTGCCATGATGAATTCCATGCCACGAAAAATTCACGAGAATTGTTCCGGATGATGAGGTCAAGCAAATAAAATCAGTCATATAGCTTTTCAGTACTTTTACGTTTTACGACATCGATAAAATGCACTCAATCTTTAACAAGTCTGACTTAGAGAGGCTTTTACATCTCAAGAGGCTGCAGCCAGCAAAATGCATCTAGCAATGAACCAAGATAAAACTAAATACATGCCATATGGTAATAACAGCAGCCCCTATTTTGAAGTTGGGAACTACAAATTTGAAACTGTTAGCAAATTTAAATATTTAGGATCAGACGCTAATACTCTCAATGATTTCATGCCTGATATCCGTAGTAGAGTCACAGATGCTAACCGATGTAGTTTTTTGGTCTCAACAAATATTTCTCGGTCTAACTTCACTAGCAGAAAAACGAAGATTCTAATTTACAAAAGCTTAATCAGACCCATTCTTACAAACTCTGATGAGAACTGGACAATGACAGATAAAGCTAAAAGTATCATTTTAGTAAAATATATAAGGATTCAGAGAATTAAATGGGCAGGGCACCTGTGCAGAATGGATGAAAATCGTGTAACTAAAATGATCTTCTCGGCCAGACCATTCGGTAGCCGAAAAATAGGAAGACCTAAACATAGGTGGCTGGACTGTTTGGAAACAGAATTAAGAATTTTAAGAATAGCTGATTGGATGTCCAGGGCCAAGGATAGAAGAGCTTGAAATTCGATTCTGAGGAAGGCAAGGACCAATCTTGGGCTGTCTGGCCACTGAAGAAGAGAAAGAAGAAAATGTACTCAAATTTGGAGATTAAAACTTGCTCATACTGTTTTAAATTGTCACCAGCCATATTATTTTAAATTTTCCTTATTATATTGAAATTTATTTCTAAGTATCTTATAGATTTT